ATTTATTCATGAAATTTAGTTTCTTGATGTGACATTTTCTACTGTGCTACTCAAAAGATTTCTGATTTAGGAGGGTTTCAAATCATGAAGTCAGGGACATTCCACTTGTGGTAAGATTATTAAACAAAGGATGTTAATTATATTAAGGATTTTGATGTATGCACTGAACAATTGCTATTTGGAAAGTTAGTATTCAGTCCCATAGTGTAAGAAAATTCCCAAATCGTTCTTTTAAGTCTGTGTCAGCTAATATTTTAGTCTGTGGCTAAGTTTTGTTTTTCTGTTCTAGCTTTCTTTTTATGGCCATTTAAAAAATGTCCATCTTCATTCCAAATCAGGGAAGGAAAGGCTAGCACATCAAAATGAATTTTGACAGTGTTTATAAAAGCTTTAACTGAGAGGAGATTTAGACTGTTAACTTTTAAATTTCCCGTGACTGCCAATTTACATTCAGTTTTCCTGGGAAACGTGAGTAATGGTGGTTTGGCTTTTTTATTTTGTAGCAATTTCCACACATGAGCTTTTGTTGAAATCATTTATTATGTAAGTCCCTTATACCAAGCTGTCACCTTACTAATGTTTAAATCTTACTCACCCTTAGGTAGAAATGTTGGCATGGCATTTCTTATCACCTTAACAGGTGGATTCTATTGAGCTTGAGCTTAGTGTCTTTGTTGCAACTCCCAGATTTTGTGACTTGGTGTTACCCTCCCTCCACAGATGCCCAGTACTGCTCTACATCAGTGTATGACTTGCTTGGTTCCCAAATGTATCCTAGTTATAACTCTATTTACTTAGAGAAAAGAAAGATGTGCCTTGAGAGACTGGAGCAGGCCTCTGAACCAGCTTATACTATCTCCTCAAGGCTTGAGAGTCCATTACAGGTGACTATTGGGAAGAAAACTTCAAACCTATTTAGTAGGCAGCTACCTTCCCTCAAAGTCCTTAGATTTGGAGGTAGAACTTCACCTGTTAGGACCTTCCTAATGAGGGGTAACTGGCTGACCTTTTAATTGTAATGCCATCATGATTCCACCCAGTGAGTGTAGACCAATGCCATGTTACAGACACATAGTAATATTCAACCAGTCCATTACAGAACTCCTGTTCTTCCATAATTTAGATTGATCTGAGGTCACTGATGTACCTAGAGGATTTGGCTTAGTGTAGGTTGGTGTCTTTTCAGTGTAGGTTGCACTTTTGTTGACAGGTTAAAGTTTTAGCAATATGATCACTTTGGTAATATTGAAAGTGTGTTAGCTCCTCCACTTAGGTCAGCTTTTAGAGCTATGTGCCAGTCTGGTTGTTCCCAGTAAGGATCAGTTTTCATTTTTAGATACTTATAAAAAACACAGGTAATTTCCATGAGCAAGAAGTTCAGTTAAATTCAGTTTTAGTGTAGCTTTGTAAAAACTCAGCTTTTGGAAGAACTATTGGCATAGTTGTTTTATTTTTAAGGCAGTATTTTTGAGAGGTTTTATATTTTTGAACTATCGATGGTCTTATTTGGGGGATTTTTTCTAAACAAAGTGTAAGGAGGCCGTATGGGTAGCCTGATAATTGTATACATACTGCTTTGTTTGATTCCTTGGCTTTCTCATGCCAGAGTTGATTCAGAGATGTGTGCAGTGACCATCTTTGGTCAACTCATTTGTCTTTACCCCTCCTGACAGAGAAGAGTAAGAGAGCCAACTGCAATGGCAGTGGTGGGAACAAGTGAGTTTTAACAAGAATACAGGATTCCAAACCCGTAGATTTAACAGAGGCTGGTTCTACAACTGTTTTAGCAGCTTGCAAAGTGTGTGTAGGGCCACCCACACTTCCTTCCTCTTCTCCAGCCACACCCACATGCTCAGTTGCTTCTGGGAGCACATCAGTATTCTTGCAGTACCTACAGGACTTGTTTTTCAAACATGAGTTTCCATATTCTAAACACTTTGGGCTAGTTGGCCTGCTTCATTTACGTCTAGCTTAGTTATGTACATGTGTGAGCATGTGCCCCACAAGAAGGCTATGTTAGAGTGGCCTGTTTCAGGGTGTTTGCTGTTCAGAAAAATGTCAGCTCAATTATGAAATGGTTAAAAATACAGTTTGAAGAGCTTAGTGCACAAGAAAATGTTCATGATACAAAGTCAAGGAAAAAGTAGTCACACTTAGTATCTCGGCTTGGTAAATACAAGAATGTGCATTAGATTTGGTAGGTCATCCTCTAGAGATGACAGGTGAGTTTCTCCTTGTGCTTTTCTGCATTTTCCAAACTTTATGAAGTAAATTGTTTATTGAACTAGGGTTTTGTTTGAAATATTGTTTAAATGGTTAAAAACTTCTCTTTTCCTGAAAATCATTCCCTGTTATCTTACATAGTCTACCAGTTCATTTTTAAAAGTGTCTAGCCATATACATAGAAAGCAATTGCAGAGCTATGTTGCCAGACCATAGGAGAGTTATGGATGGTTTCCCTACTCTTTGCCAACCTATATATTCTAATTGAATTTTTCTTAAGCTAAACAGGTATCTTTTCATAATTGGAATCCCTGAACAAAGGCAAATGCTGTAAACATATGCATATAAAGTTATGTAAATTACAGTATGCTGTAAACATATGCATATAAAGTTACACATAGAATTACCATGCCTTTGAAAAACAAAGAAGCTGCATATAAATCCATATAGACTGACTGCCAGAGTGTTAAGAGTGCTGACTTTCGGTGCTTGGATTGTGATATCTTTTTCGTTTGAAGCTTTCCACTCTATTCTTTCCAAATTCTATAGGACTGTATAACTCTTAAGGTGGCATGGTGGTGCAGGCCTATACTCCAGGCATGTGGAAGGCTGAGGCAGGAGGAGCTTGAGTTGAGGCCAGCCTCGGCTACATAGTGTAATATTAAACCAAACAAGATAAATGTAAAGGGGGAGAAAAGCAAATAACTTAGATTTTTAAAGGTGTTTTATTGAAAACCACAGACTTTAGTCATCAGCATTATCTTCTTTTTTTTTGATTTTTAAATTTTATTTTGTATGAGGGTTATGCCTGTATGTATGTAAGTGCACCCATGTTGTGTAAGGCCCACAGGGGACAGAAGAGGGTGTCAGATCCCCTGGAACTGTAGTTAAACATGGTTGTTAGCTGCCATGTGGGTGCTGGGATTTGAACCCAGGTCTTCTGTAAGAATAGCCAGTGCTCTTAACTGCTGAGCCATCTCTAGCTCTGGAATTATCTTCTTTATCTCAGAATCTTACAGTGCTCATATCCAACTTGATGTCTTAAGAGAGTAGAAGAGGGAGACTAGTTCAGGGAGCAGCTTTTTTCTTGAAATACGGCAAAAAAACAGAGAAACTTCTTGGGAACAGTAGGAAAACCTCCAGTCTTTAAAGGTTAATGTTTATTATTTTAAACTATGTGTATATGTGTGTCCATGTGTAGGTATATGCATATGCAGATGCCAGAGGCATAGGATCCCCTTGAGCTGGAGTTATAGGTGGTTGAGAGCCACCAGACGTGAGTGCTGGAAACTGAATTTGGATCATCTAGAAGAGCAGTACATGCTCATAACCAATGACCTGTCTCTCCAACCCCCTTCACAACCTTTAAAGTGTGTTTGTTTGGTTTGGTTTGGGGATAAAACATGGTGGTAGTTTTATATAACTAGGCTGGCCTCAGATTCTTGATCCTTCTGCCTCTGCCTTCTGACTGCTGAGATTATAGGCAAGTACCGTCACTCTGGCAAGGCTGTGTTCTTGTTCCTAACATTGTTTAGTCAGGAAATGGACTGCACAGAGTCAGGCGACTTGCTAAGTGCCTGTGGCTCATGATTAGTGAGCTGGATTAATATATAAAGTCTTTAGAACTCCAATGCTTAACCACTAGACCTCACATTGTCTTGCCTCAGAAACTGGATGAATAGCTGTTTCAGAAAGAAGCAGGCAGAGATAATGAGAGGAGCTACCATACCCACCCACCCCCAGCCCCCCAAGCTGAAGCATCTGCAGGTGTAGCAGGGTTTACCTGTCATGAGTCAGGACCTGTACCAGTGGGTGTGTGGTCCTGTTCACACAGCAGAACCTCTCTTCTCCTAGCAGTGGACTTGTCTTTACATCCAGAGGTTGTCATCTTTCCTGCTTACTTTTCCTACCTTACACTCCCTTTCTCCCAAGTGCACCTGAACCTGGGCTCCTGATAACTACACACACTGAATCTTTAGTGTGTGGTATAAGTTTGTCTTGGCCTACCAGGAATATTCAGACCTTTCACTTACTTGTGTGGTATTTCAGTGTTGTGGAAAGCCTATAAGCCTCCATAATGAGCATCCCTTCCCTGTGCCACAAACTGGAAAGAAGTGAAGCATCTTTGTTTGCAGTGATGGTCTTGTGTTACTATTGAACGGCAAATAAAATGTTTGGTGTGTTGCCTGGTACTGACATCACAATGCATTTCTGTTTTGCTGGGTAGAGGAGTCTTTTGCCCTCCTCAGCTACTGGAGTGTGAGTTACGTGAACTTATTCCAGGCTCCTGGAGGTGAGATGGACTCCATACACATACTGAGCAGGATCACAGCTTGGTAGATGTGCTTCACTGTGTCCGCCTTTAAGGCCCACAAGTGAGAATTCAGTGGATGCAGGTTCAGAAAGCCTGCTGCTGCTATTGCCACCCTCAGTAATCTTTCTGACTTGTCTGCTTGGAAAATTGTCTTTGTACCTGTTAGCTAAAGGTTTCTTTAAAGGAATTGTGATTCAGGATATGGATGTGGGCTGGAGTTATGGCCCAGTGTTAGAGAGCTTGCCTAACATGAATGAGACCCTGGGTTCAGTCTCCAGCAATGGGAGGGAAAAAGGAGGTTGTAATTAATAAAGGGAGAAAGATAATGGAGACTAGGGTACTTAGAGACACATTTTACTATTTTTAGGTTTTTCTAGAATCCTGTCTTTGTATATATTTTTATATTAAGCAAAGTTAAAGTAAATGGAATTAAACTGAAATCTGTCATTGTATTTCCTTTTAGGAGAAAGAAGCAACTAACAGTGAAACAAGGGCTGCTGAGCATGCAGTTTGCACGGTACGTCATGGAGCTGTGGTAGATTCACCTGTGCCTCTCACAGCCACCTCTGAACATCAGCACCTGTGTCAGGCAGAACTGCTAGGCACTGAGATTCTCAGGGATCAAAAAGCACTTTAGCTGTTTCCCATTCTAACTCAAAATGCATGTGGTGGTGGGATTACACAGTCGCTGGTGTTCTGAAGTTCACAGACACGGTCTTTCCTCGTCACAATGTCCTGGTTTTAGGCTACAGTTTAATTGTAGCTTTAGACTTGAAAGGGGTACTTGTCAAAAAGTAAATTCTTTCACACAGTAGTTAGTCATTTCAGTACAGGCCAGTCCAGCCTTGTGAAGAGTCCTGTTAGTCTTCCTGGCTCTTGCCCCAGGTCTGGGAAGAGAAACGGTGAGATGTTAATAGTCATGTCTTTGGGACCCTGAATAAAGACTATTTTTTATTTATTTATTTTGCGATAAGTTTAACTTCATTTATTTACTTTGTGTGTGTGGGTATGTGTGGTATATGTACATATTTGTATATGTGTACATATGCACAAACGTGTGTGGAGACCTTGATCACTCTCAACCTTAATTTTTTAAAAAAAATTTTAACATTTATTTATTTATTTTGTGTGTGTGTGTGTGTGTGTGTGTGTGTGTGTCATAACACATGTGCCATAGCACATATGTTGAGGTCAGAGGACAACTTGCTAGAATAGATTCTCTCCATCTATCATATGGATCCTGGGTATTTTACTCAAATTGTCAGGCTTTGAAGCAAGTGCTTTTACCAGCTGAGCCACTTTGCCAGCCTCTTATGCTTTTCATAGAGAGGGTGTCACTATGCAGCCCAGGTTGGCCTCAATACCACAATCGTCCTTGTCTCTGCCTTAAGTGCTAGAATTACAGGTGTGTACTATATATATCTGGTCTTATATTTGCCTGTTTTGTAAGTAACAACATTGTGTATGTGCCCACAATTATGTGCAAGCATGGAAGCATGAGAAGGACACTGGGCATCTTCCTCTATTGCTTTCTACATTAATCCATGGCCTGCATGTGGAGGTCAGAGGACAACTTGCAAGAGTCTCTTCTCTCCTACCACCAAATAGGTTCTAAGAGTTGAACTCAGGTTGTTGACAAGCACCTTTAACACACTAAGCCATCTCACTTGCCCGCTCCACCTTAGTTTTTGAGGCAGTCTCTCAGTGAACATGGAACTCATTGACTAGGTTAGGCTGACCAGTGAGCTCTAGGGATCCACCTGCCTTCTGAGTGCTGAGGTTACAGATGCTCACATCTGTTAAAAAAAAGAAAAAGAGCCACTATGTCTGGTTTTTATGTGTGTTCTAGGGATTGAACTCATGGACCTGACAGGCATTTTACTTACTGAGTCATTTTTTTCAACCCCAGACTTGACTTTAAAAATCCTGGGACTCTTATCAAATCTGACCTATATTTTCAGGAACACATCTAAACTAAAACAGTAGAGGAAAGAACAAAAGTTAAAAATTGGGGCAGGTCTAAAAGAGTCTGTTTTAAAGGTGAAAGTTGAATTTGCAAAAAAAATATGCAACAGAAACAGACTTGGGTAGGATTTGGAGAATAATTCCCTTAGAATTAATTGAAGTTAAAGGTTTAAACATAGTTTCCTGCCTCCTAAAGTTGGTATATAGGTTTTTGTTTTTGAAAATATATGTGAATTAAAGTTTCTTTTGAGGGCTCCTCTGTCCAAATACAGAAATATCTTTCAATTTAGATTGCCTTATTTATGCTGGTCATTAAAATTAGTAGCTTAGAAAAGCCAGGATAATGCAGAGTATGGATGGAATTTGCCTTTTTCTAATAACTTTATTGTTTACTGGTTTCTTTTTTCTTTTAAAATATTTTTATTTGTGTATATGTATGGCGTATGTGTTTATCTGTCGGTCTGTCTGTCTCTGGGTGGGTATGTTCTTGTGAGTGCAGGTGCCCACTGAAACCAGAAATGGGTGTCAGGTCCCCTGGAGCTGGAGTTGATTAAGAGCCACCTGATAGGGTGCTGGGAGCCAGACGTGGGTCCTCTGCAAGAGCAGCAAGTGCTTTTAACTACTGAACTATCTCTCAAGTTCCCATACTGGTTTCTTATCTAAGATCTTCTTAGAAACAGGACTAATAATTCAGTTTGGGTTCTGAAGTCAATTTTCAGAGAAGCAGCCAGAACAAGGTGTTTTAAAGCGCTGACTAGAGTCAGACACCCTCAGGTTGAATCCAACTCCTTTTCCTCCTAGCCCTGCAGCCTCCAGCCAGCATACTGTATATGTTTGTCCTGCAAATGGGTGAATATTTACTGTCTTGGGGTAGTTGTGAAGAATGGGGGAGATGGTGTGAAGCTTGACGTGTGATTGCCAGACAGCACTCCTTAGGAAAGATAGTACTGTGTATGGCTACAGTGGTGTCAAAGATACAGAGCCATGTCAGTAAGCATGTTCCTGTTGATTTGTTAAGCTTGTCAGTGAATTTTTGATGTGGCCCTAACGAAGTGATCCAGGTAATTTCTGAGGTGATATGAATATAACATGATTTTATACATTGTTTTTATAATTGGTGTTTTAACTCTTTAACACATTAGTATTCCAAGTGGTAAGATTTGTAGTGTATAGGCTTTGAAGGCTGAGGATATAGTTCAGTGGTAAAGTGCTTGTCTTAGCTATGCAAGACCTTGCATTTGATCCCCAGCCTCCCTTCTTCCTCAAGTGGATAGAAAAGGCAAAATGGGTTTTGAAATTAGTTAGACCTGAATTTTAGCTTTAACACTTGTCACTTGTACCTGAAACTGAAAGTGTGTCCTTGGCTATAAAAATGAGACTAATGCTGGCCCGTCAAGAGTTAGTGGCATAATCCAGTCAGTCTCATTGCCACGAATACCTGTGTGGGCTTTCAGGGAATATAGCTTTTTTCTGTTCTCCAAAAATAAGCATTAATTTAAAAGCATATGATACTAGTGCTTTAAGCAATGCTGCCTTGTCATATGTAAATTTTAGTTTGGGGAGGTATGCTCATCTATGTGGATTAATAGTGTAAGTAAGTTTACTTTTATAACATGTACCTGGAAGAGTGGGCTTCACCACCCTGTGTATGCACTGATAGGGACAGTATGGAAGGTCATTGTATTCCTTACTGGATTTTGTTACCATCTCTATTAAATTTTGACCACAAAGTGGCTGTTCAGATACTGAGATTTAAAGTAATATTTTAACTTTTAAATTTTATAGACTTGTTTTTTTCTGAGTCAAGGTCATTTCTAAGAACATAGCTTTTAGAAATTTATATTATAAAAGTTGAAATTTGGCTTTTAAAACCCAATGATCTTATGACTTCAGTTTTCTGTAAGAGTGCACAGAGTACACTGGGAAAGTGTGCAGGCCATGGTGACTAGTGTGTGAGACTTAGAAAGCCATCATAGTAATGAGCACAAGGAGCGAGTGCTCACCAGCCAGCACTGTTTATTAAGCACCTGCTGTATACTGGGCATTATTTAAGCTGTGCTGACACAAGAACAGACAGTTGCCTCATAAACATTTTGGAAAAATGTTGCATTTGAAAATGTAGTAAAACAGTTTTGGTTACCTTTTACATGTCAGTACTGTTTTAGATATGGTGGCAAGGACATGGATGGTCCTCTGGAGCCTTCAGGCTCAGGATGGAAAAATGGAACACTTTGCTATGCGTAGACCACAGTGTGGCTGTGACCTGAAACACATGTGGGAGATAGACAGACAAAATGACTAGAACTGGAGACTCAGAGAAGACTGCCTTAGGGGCCTTCATACACTCTCAGCAAGAATGCTGGTCTTGGGTGACAGGACAAAGTTATTGGTTTTTAAGTGTTTGTTTTCCCTTGTGAACTCTTGCCATGTTTCTAAAGACTGAGTTTACCTTTTGGAAAATATTTGTCTTTTAAATATAGCTTATCAAACTTGTTAGTTTCTTATTTCTGACATCACCCCCTAAACAAAAATTGCTTCCAGTGAGTTACTTTTTTTAGTTTGTAGAATATGATATTTAGCTTCTCAACCTTTACTTTGTAATGTAAACTCTTAAGCATAGAAATGCGGTTTTAGAAATGACTCTGACTCATTTTGTGTCTCAGTTCATGTAAGCTTCTCTTAAAATGAAAAAATAAAATTCCCATAGTTAATTCTGTGTTTCCTCTTGTTTTGTAGTTGTCCATGGCAATGCTGACCATGAGTTCCTTATTCTCACCAGATACTCTCATATGAGAAGATCCACTTTGAGCAGCTTAAGGATTTGTCCTTCCATTGTGTCAGCATGGCAGGATTCAAGCGAGGATATGATGGCAAAATCGCTGGATTATATGATCTGGATAAAACCTTGGGTCGAGGTCATTTTGCAGTGGTTAAGCTTGCCAGGCATGTCTTCACAGGCGAAAAGGTGGCTGTAAAAGTTATTGACAAGACAAAGCTGGACACACTAGCTACTGGCCATCTTTTCCAGGAGGTGAGGTGCATGAAACTAGTGCAGCACCCCAACATTGTGCGACTTTACGAAGTCATTGATACGCAGACCAAACTGTATCTCATTCTAGAGCTTGGAGATGGAGGAGACATGTTTGATTACATTATGAAGCATGAGGAGGGTCTTAATGAAGAGTTGGCCAAGAAGTACTTTGCTCAGATAGTTCATGCAATATCTTACTGCCATAAACTGCACGTGGTTCACAGAGACTTAAAACCAGAGAATGTCGTCTTCTTTGAGAAACAAGGTCTTGTGAAGTTGACAGACTTTGGATTCAGCAACAAATTTCAACCAGGGAAGAAACTCACTACGAGTTGTGGATCTCTTGCGTACTCTGCTCCAGAAATTCTGCTTGGTGATGAGTATGATGCCCCTGCAGTAGGTAGGTGACCTGCGCAAAGTTTGCTTACTTGAGTTCTACTAGCTGGTATTTGTTGGTTGAATCCATTGATGTCTAAAAATAATTCTGAAGAAAAATTTGATTCAGTGTGTCTTACTTAGCAAATTGAATTTCATGAATACTCCATAGCCCTAAAGCTGGCAGTTTATTTCAACCTCATGAAGGTAAATATCTAAAAGAGTATTTGTAAAATAAAGATAATTTTGAGTATTGGTTAAGGAAACCTGTCAGGGTTCTTGTGCTGACTTCTTTCTTTCTTAAGGTCTGAGTTCATCTCCTTCCTATCTCCTTAGACTGTTTTCTGGCAGTGGCCCTGACCCATTCCTGTGAATGTCCTTTAACCCATACTCCAGAGGTAATGTGAATATTACCACATAGTGTCAAGGACTAGAAATTGGGCTCATTGTAACCTTGAATAAGTAACTGGCCTCTCTACTTACTTCTGCATCTTTAAAAGAGAGTACAGATTCCGGCATAGCAGCCCATGTTATCTTGCTTGTTTTCCTCAGCAGCCTGTGTGAGGTTTAGTGTCTGTCTCATTATTTACAATAGGAAGCTCAGTCGCCAGTACCACACAAGCCAAAGGCAGAGCAGGACACTGCCATACAGAGAGCCTGCATATGCTGGATTGCAGACAGTGATAGCTTTTGGCTTTCCCAACACCCTTACCCTTCCCTCCCAGCATCCTTCTCTCCCAGTATCCTTTGCACTCTTACCTGTCTGTGCTGGAAGTGCTTCTTGCTTTTCAGGTTGAATCAACTTTGTCCCCTTGGGATCAGACTTGGGGGATCAGACTTGTTCTGGAGTCCATACAATAAATTATTTTTTACTTGTATTTGTTGCTGAAGGCACAGTTTTTAATTTTTTTTTTAATTTAATCTCTGAGAGAAATATGTCCTGATATATGAACATGACAGAACTGCAAAGACAGGACCGTTCCCACATTTGACCATATGAAGTGCATGTGGATGCACTGACCCCAAACATCAGTGACAAGGATTCACTGACCCCAAGACTGCCAATGCACTGAGCACTCTTGTGCTGAGACACAGGCTTTCTTGTCAGACTGTTGTGTTCTGGGAAAGAAGGATCCCGAATGGTCTTTGCCTCCAGAGGCAACCAGGATTTATTGAAGCCTTAGAGTACTTGAGCCAAAGGTTTTGAGTAGTGAAGCCATTCTGACCAGAAACAGAAGCCAGATGACAGAAGAAGAGGCATGAATGTCTGTCTGGAGGCCTCTTCAGCCTCACAAGGAGGCAAAGGGAAGCTGCAGTAAGATGCTTTCATGCTTTTCAGAGTGAGAAAATCTGCAGGGAGACAAAGTCAGGTGTCATCAAACATGGAGTTGTAATTTAGAAGACAATTTGGCAGTATCTGGTAAAGAAAGACATACACATCTTGTGACCCAGCAGTGTGTGTGTGTGTGTGTGTGTGTGTGTGTGTGACAGATATGCAACTCAGAGCCTTGTACCTCCTAGGCAAACTCTCTGTCATTGAGCCACACCCCTGTCCTGCTCAGAACATTTTCAGTATTCCCGTTGAATATGCATGTGCAGGGGAATAAATTGTTCTTTATTCACATTGAATTCTATAGATTAGTGAAAATGCAGCATGCATGTCAACATGATGGATTTTCACAAGTCTAACATTTAAGGGGAGAAAAAACCTATTGGTAAAAGTGCATACAACAAAACCTTTGTGTAAGTTTAAAGCAGAGTGGTATGCCTTTGGGGGTGCATGTATGTGTCACAAAGTGAATGCATGGAGATTACTTCTGAGGGGCAGGTACAGTTGTTTCCGCCGTATTACTTTTCTAAATTGGTGCACAGGTATTCATTGTAATGTTCTTTTTTCTTCTTATGTCTTAAATATTATGCATAATGAAACTTTTGAAAAGTGAAACAAAAGGAAAAGAAAATTAGGTTAATCTGACGATTACATTTTGCCCATGAAGTGAGATTGCTTTGAGTTCATAGATTACCTTTTCAAATTTGTTATTTGTGTTGATTTTAGTTAATCTTGTTGATACAAAATACAGAATTGCTTTTAAAAACATGCAGTTTTCTTTCTGTTAATACACTCTTAGGCCAAAATTAGTGATGCTTTAGCAGAATGAACAGGGACAAAAATTAAAACCTGTCATTGTATGAATTGCCAGATGTTTCTAAGTTGGTTCTGTTTTGTAAGGAACAGCTCTGTGACTAGCTCAGGGGTTGTCATTTTATTTCCAGAGAGCCAGAGTTTGATTTTACTCAATAGCAACACTTTGTTTTCTACATGATTTTGTCCTTCTAGGATCTTCAAGTTTCATCTTCTTTTTGTTTCGTGTCTTGAATTGAGTTGCTCTAGTGTCTTAATTTCTGATTGCTGTGCTGCCCTTCTAGCTTACTGAATTTTAATATCTAATTTTAGTATATTGAAGTTAATGACTATACCCAATTGGGTTTTGCTTTGAGAAATATTTTTGGAATTTTACTGGGTTAATCATAGTAATTTTTGCCATGATGACTTGCCTGTTCCCTGTGTGATTAAACCATTTGTATTTTTGGTACATTAAGAGTTTTTATACATAAGATTGTTTATTGTGTGATTTATCCCTTTATAGCCTTGTTTTATTCTGGTCTGTCACCTTCTAAAAGAATGATGCCAGCTTCCCACTCTGATCTGTGTTTTTACTTTGTGTGTGTTATGTATAAGCTAAATAAAGTTATGTGAGCTCTAAGTTTATTTTACATGATGAGCTATATCTTTTACCAATATAAAAGTATCCTTTTATCCTTTTCTTGAACTTATTCAACTATACTTGAATCATCGATGTTTAAGGTTTGTGTCTTATATAACTTTTTTGTCTGATGAGTTCATTTTTAACAGGTGAGTTCAGTGTATATTACTACCGGAATATTTGGGTGTATTTTGGTTTTTATTTACTTTCTTGTGTATTATATTGTTCCATATTTTGTTAAATTGGCCAAGTTTTCTTTACCTAGTTTGCAAGAAGTGCAGTGTGTTTTCTTTGCATTGGTCTTCACTTTTAACCCCCCAGAGCTAACCAAGGTCTGTATTGTCTCCTGCCTGACAGTTAAAAAACTTTAATCTGCTTTACATTTCTTTTAGTAATGAAGCTTTAGTTGCTTCTGTTTGTTTACAATAAGTACTTTTTACTTAATTTTACACATTTCTTGGCCTCCCTGTCCTTCACTTGGATAGTTTTCTGTTGCTTCGCTTTTTTCATAATCCTTTCTTAGAGGACTTGTGAACAATTCTCCATGTCCTTATCCATCTAAAAATGTGCTCATGTTTGAATGTTAATTTGGCTGCGTATAGAAATATATTCTAATTAATTTTCCTCCCAACTTTTAAGTTAGATTTCCAGAAATATTCATGCCACCTTTTTGCTTCTAAAGTGGCCGGGGAGATGTCTGGTGTGAGGTTGTTTTGCTTCCCTACCATAGTGTCTGCATCACACACCTGCCTATTCATTCTTCTTGATGAACTTGGTTCCTCCCATACTCACTTATAGGAGTATGGGGACTTAAGTTGTTTGTTCATCTTTGTTTTGTTTCTGAGCTTTTCAAATAACTTGCCTATGAATACTCTATTAGAGACTGTTTCAGTCGGAATGAAAACCAGAGTGCGCCTGGGTATTGTGGCTTGTGTCATCATCCCCAGGACTTCAGAAGCTGAAGCAGGAGGACTGCTTTGAGTTTGAGTCTGTCTCCCTCCTTCTCCACTTTCCTGGCTGATCTGGTTGCATTTCCTGTGGCTATACTGCCTCCTTGCTGTTGGTCATACTCTGGGCCTAGGCCTGCCTCTGGACTCTCCATCTCCCCAAGGCCAAGGATTCTCTTGCTCACATGCCACCCTATCTCAAGGCTCTTCTCCAAAGGTGCAGGGCCCCAGCACCGCCTGTTCTCCTTCCCCATTTTCTGGGCTCTTACCTCTTGAAGTATTAATGCCTGCCTTAGGCTTGTGGAGGGGTGAAGTGAATGAAGGCATGGAAGTTGTTAGCAAAGCCTTGACACAACCATTCTCAGTCCACCCACATAACTGCCTCAGCGCCTGCTCTTTTGGAGAGATCACAGAATGCTTTGCTCTGTGCTACCAGCTGCTGTCCCACAGGGACATTTAGTGTTAGAGCCTGGCCACCTCTCTGTGTGGGTGAAAGAGTATCTGAGGTGTTCTTGTCTTTGGAAATTCATACTCTAGGGAATTTCTGTAATGTTGGCTGCCGTGGGAAAACTGCGAGGGAGGGCAGGCCCAGGACCTTTGCTCACATGTTTTCCCACATGTTGGTTTTAGTTGTATTTAACTTTGAGAAGGTTGTTTATATATGGGGAACAGGTCAGCTTCTAAAGTAGGGATCTTTCTTCCCTTTTAAAGAGTGTGGGCAAAAAGACAAAAGTGCTGATATTATAATTAGTATTTATTTCATAATGGTTAGTCTCTGGGAACTTCAGAGGAGCTTTGTGAATCACTGGGAATAGTACTGTTTTAATGCAAAAATTATGTATAGAAACAGAACCATCTTTAGGTGATGGTACCGCAAATATTGAAAATAATAAGTTTCCCCCCCTTTTTTTTTTAAAGATAGTCTTGCTATGTAGCCTAGACTGGCCTTGAACTCACAGTCCTCCAGCCTCAACCTTCTGAGTGCTGAAATTGTAGACTTGGGCTTGTGCTTTTCTGCTGCTGTTGTTAAGCTGTTTTGAGGTATGAAATGTAAGCTTTTTGAGAAAGAAAAACTAGCTTGCAAAAAAAAAAAAGAAAAAAAGGTTACTGGTTAGAATCAACTTACCTTTCTTTTTTCTGTTTTTGAGACAAAGTATCTTGTAGCCAGACTGGACTCAAACTTGGTATATGTAGCCACAGATGACCTTGAATTTCTGATCTTCCTGCTTTCACCTCCTCAGTGCTGGGAATGCCTTACTGTGGTTGAACCCAGGTCATCATGTGTGTTAGACAAGTGCTACCAACTGAGCAAA